TATATATATATATATAATATATATTTTATATATATATAAAATCATAATCCTCCTATAGAGTTCCTGGGTGGTACAAATGGTTAATCGCTCAACTGTTAACTGAAAGGTTAGTGGTTCAAATCCACCAGAGGCTCATCAGAAGAAAGTCCTGACAATCTGCTTCCGAAAGGTCACAGCCTTGAAACGCCCACTGAGTGCAGTTCTACTCTACACACATGGCGTTGCCATGAGCCAGAATTGACTCAAGGGCTTTGAGTTTTACGTTATCCTCAAGGGATTCGTATTATATACTTTTTCTGCAATCTTCTTTTCTTATTTGACCACATAACATGGAACTCCTCCTCAACTACCATATATAGATCTGGTCCATATGTATACCAGATATTATTTTTCAAAAATAAATATAAAAGTACTTAGTCTTGGTGAGATAGTCAAATAGTATAGGGGTGGCAAATAGAAACTATCAGATCACAACCACTGTTCCCACCATTCCCATGTCTTCTAGGCGGGAATATTTAGCTTTAAAAGCTGAGAATGAGCGAGAGTTTATTCATAAATGAAAAGGAACAGCACGGGAGTGTGGATGCGGAGAGGGGCAGACTGATGTGGCAGAGAAGTAGGATAGAGCAGGGTGGGAATGAGAGAAGAGCAACTGGAAAGAAAACTTGGGAGCCTAGGGCTGAGTTAGTCAATCACAGCAAGGAGGGGGACAGAAAGCAGAGAAGAGAGCTAGAGGTGGTCACAGTTAGTGACAGGAAGTCAGGAAAGATGGGAGATCTTTGCGGGGAAGAGAACCATAGAGAGGGCAGCCCAGGCAGCAGTCTGTGAGGGGTGAGACGAGGGTCACTGGTGGAGCTGGCCCAGAAATCTTTCCTCATTTCCCTTGCAGAAGGTGGAAAAACTGTCTCTCAATGCTCTTGCCACATGGTTTTCCAACACCCAGGAGCATTTGCCTGTTTCTGGGTGGGATTTGTTTATCTCCATTCTGGAGTCTTAAAGTTCAAAACAGACTTCCAAACAAAGGGATCCTCAGCTCTATGGTTCTCAGCTCCATTCTCTTGCAAGGAAAGAGCCAAGATTCTGCTCTCCTGATGATTTTCACAGCCGACTTCACAGAGAAGCCTACCCCCAGCTTCCTCCTGCGTCTTTCCCGGCTGCACCAATTGTTGTGAACATCCTCATGGGTATAGCTTTTCAGCTTTTTTAACGCTTTTCTTCCTATCCTCACAACTATACAGGGAAAATAAGATTGTTTGCCCAACAGAAGTTATTTGAGGCTTTTAGATTGCTCCAAGGTTCAATGGTCTCTCTTAAGAGCTGAATTCATCAACATCCAGCTGGACCTGTTAAAAATAACCCTAGGCAAGAAAAGCTAGTCAGTTAAGCTCCCTGTAGTTGACAGCAGCCAACAACAACAGTTGGAAAATTATGAGGCATATTCTCTGGCCACCACTCTGAGGAAAGGCCCAACAGGTCTACATAAGTAGAAAATGACAATCTTGTCACTCAGGGCAGGTATCAATGAGGGATGACAATAATAATTAGTCTACATCAAGTCTTCATAAGCCATGCATTTACACTAAGTATTTTAATACACACAACAATCCATGGGGAAGGGGCTGTTATTATAGCCGTCTTACAGACGAGGAATTTGAGACTCAGAAAGTTGAGTACCTTGCCCATGGTGACATAGCTGGTAAGTGATGGAGCTGGGACTGAAAATATGATGAAAAGTAATGGAGCTGGGATCCAGAACCTGGGCTCTCAACCAGGGCGCCATTGACTTTACCTAATTCATGCTTTGCTTAGTTATTTATTGTCCCCGAGCCCTCCCAAATAGGATTTATGCCCCATGAGGTGAGGGTCCTTGCCTGTCCAGCTCACTTCTGTATCTCCAGCAGCCAGCACATGGCCTGTCACAAATAGACACTCAATAAATAATTGCTGACTGAATGCATTAATGAATGAATATCATGCTTTTATTTGACCATATCCTGTAATCTGACATTTTCTGAACGTTGAGCCTTTGGGTGTTAACAAAAACTAAATATACTCACTGAAAAGTTCTGCTAATTGTTACATATTAAATTTACCTGAACTTTCTCCTGGTGGGGGAAAATGTCTTTCCTCAGGCATTAGAACCTAGCAAGTTACCTGCAACTTGAAGATTGAATAAAGAATCTCAGTCTGCAAATGTAACGGGTCTCTAAAGAGATATTTTGGAATAACTTAAATATTTATAGATCATCTATGTATCCAAAGTCAATCTACACCTCTGCCTTTTTCAGTAGCAAAGAGTGGTCTGTGAATCACCAGGGATTCTTGTTTAAAACGCAGAGCAAGAAAATCAGGAGTCTGGGAATCTGCACTTTTACAGGCATCTCAGGTGGTTATTATACAAACAAAAAATTGAGAGCCAATGTGAAGAGGTTAGGGCTATTTTTACCCCCACCATTGGAAAAAAATCCTAATAAACTATCAAAATCTGTGTCAAATCCACTGACCTTTCAGTTTGTCTTAAAAAAAAAAAACAACGTTGCCGCCAAGTCAATTCTGACTTATAGTGACCCCATAGGACAGAGTAGAACTGTCCCATAGGGTTTCCAAGGAGCAGCTGGTAGATTCGAACTGCTAACCTTTTGGTTAGCAGCCAAACTCCTAACCACTGTGCCACCAGGACTCCTCAGTTTGTCTAAAGGTTATTATTTTTAATTACTATCACATCTTGGCATCGTGAGTGGTGTAATTTATTTCACCTTGTATAAGGTAGAAACATTGTATTTATCCTAAAAGGTGTGCTTTCCCCAATTTTAAGAGGGTAGCTACCAAATCTTATCCTGATATCTCAGACTTCATTGCACTGAGTCACTCTCACAGGGGCCCAAGGTAGAAGGAAGGAGATCTGGTCTAGATCTGCCCCAAGATGCTGTGTGTCCTAGAGTAGGTAGCTCAGCCTCTCTGATCCTCTGTCTGCTTGTCTACAAATTGGAAGTGTGAGTGCTCATAGCTTTTTGATCCTACACGTGGTCTAGGCAGAATCATTCTATAGGTAGGGATCATGACTTGTTTTTCTACTGTTGAGAGTCATGCTTCTGTGATCATGAATTAGGTTGAGAATGTGACAGGGTAAGTAGTCAGAAAAAACCCCACCCCATGGGCTCAATCGTGACTAAAAACATTCAGGATATGGATTCTATAATACACACCTATAAGCACTAATTACAAAGAAAAATACTTTGGGACAAGAATTAGTTGACCTCTGTTAGGCTGAGTCATGCCACATACCTGATGTTTTCCTCAGACAGGGAAGTGTTTCGGGGTGGGGGTTTCTAGACGTTCCACTATGAGGGCGGCGTGAACTGTCATTCTGTCAACAAATCTTTATTGAGCACCTACTATGTGCCAGGCTGCAGGCACTGTTGTGGATATTAGGGCCCAATCGCCAACCATAGTGACAAGACTTATTCTTTCATGGAGCTCAGATTTTAGCAAAAGAGATGATAAACTATTGTAAGAAATGAATTAGTGATAAAGGGTATAACGAGAGTAATGGGGGAGGCGGCTCCAGGCTTGAGGATCCCTTAATGCCTCGTCCACTCGTCCAGCCGCCACAATCTACAGTTGGAGAAGATGAGGCAGAGACAGCCATACCCTGCTCAAATCGAGACAACGAGCTTGTTAGCCACAGAGCTGGAAGTGGAACTGTCTTCCTGTACGGCCAACCTCTTCACAGACCCTCTCAATATCATTAGTGCTCTATCATCATCTAGCACTTAGAGTCCAGTACCCAGAGAGGGAAGACACGCTCCCAGCACGCCCTTGTTGGCACCAGGACCCAAGGACCCCATCCATCCTCATCTCACTCCAGGGCCCAGAGAGCAGCCTGGGTGGGGCGGGGCCTCCGAGACGCACCAGGGCGTCCAGCAGGTGGCAGCACCGTACGGCCGCGCCCCCCCGCGCTGCCACCCGCGAGCCCGCATCATGGATGTTGAGCTCTCCTATTTCGCTTTGCTCGCCTTGGAATCCGAGACCCCAGACGAGGACCAGGATTCATGAACCGGTCGCAGAGGCCCGACCAGGGGCCTCTGGCTCCCGACTGCGGCCGAGAGGTGAGTCCCGGGGCGGGTCGCCGCTCCCCAGGCCGGGCAGGGACGCCTGACCAGCAGAGCCGGCGCCCGCGCTGCCCCCGCCCTGCTCCCTGCGGTCCACACCCCCTTCGCGCTCCGGAGCAGCTGGGTGGCAGAAGCCGGTGCGCGAGGTGTGGCGCTGCCAGCCCGCCCCTGCCCGGGACTCGGGTCCGAGCCGCAGGAGAACCAGCGCGCCCGGGTCCTCCCGCTTCCTCCTCCTCCTCCTTCCTGCTCTCACCTGAGCCTTCCTAGTCCACTCGCCTTCAAGGCCAGTGGGAGCAGCCCAGCCTGAGAGAGGACAGCAGAGAGAGAACGAGCACCTGAGGATACGGAGCCGCCACCAACTGCCTTTTCATCCCCAGGTGATGTGTGAGGTCCGAAGAACAGAAATTTTAAAAGGCAACCAGGGCCTGCGTATTGAATGAAAGACCCAGTGCAAAGGCATCACCATGAACACGAGCAGTAAGTGGATCCGTTCTTTCCTTTGCCATGGGAACAAGGGTGGGGGCGGAGGTGCAGGAGTCTGTGACGGGGCTGCCTGGCAGGCAGGAAGGAGGACTGGCACCTACGGGTACACACATCCCCCAGACTCCTTCTTTTTGCTTTTTGTGTTCCCGGGCAGAGGGACATCATTCTTTCTTCCCATGGTAATTTTATAACATTTTATCAGCAGTGCCCGTTGCCTCTGCGGGAAAGGCTTCTTGTCTCCTTCTAGCAATGCCTGGGAAGGCCTAGGAAGCAGAAGTGCTGGCCATTGTCTGACTGCGGGGTGTCCTGAGGAGACCTCCCTGCACAAGTCTGGAAATCCTTGGAGGACCCTGCTTGTCCCAGAGCTGGGAGGCAAGGAGCCCAGCTGTGAGTGGGTGGGTGTGGGCAGGCAGTGGATGGGAAAGAACAGTTTGATAATTAGAACATTAGGGAGCTACCTTTGGGTCTGGAAATTGTGAAATACCCTGCTCTGTGCACCTCCAGCACCGTGGGCCAGGGGGTGTTTTCTCCACACACCTATGGGCTGTTTAGCCATCCCCGAGATTAAGAGAAAGGGGACGAGCCCTTTGGCCACCAGCTCTAACATGCCAGAGGCAGCAACTGCTTTGCAGAGCTGGGATCAGACATCTTGCTGCTGGTTGGGCCTCGGCTGCTGAGAAATGCAGTCAGAACGACAAGGGAGGCACTGTCTGTTTCTCTTCAGCATAGTCCGTTTGAGCACGGGGCACCAGCTGGAGCACAGAGGCCTGGGCTGTGCACTGGGAAGACAGCTCTGAGTTCAAGCTTGTCTGGGTCATTCCAGCATTGGGTGGGGTTGGTGAACCAGAAGACCCCTATGAATGTCACTTCCCTGGGGACTGTGCTCTTTGCTATCAGTCCCCTCTCTGAATCTCAGATTGTTCATCTGAAAAATGAGAGGGATTGAAAATGAGAGGGACCTTCTCATCTAGGAATCTACGAGTTTCTTCTAAAAAATGCTAGAGCTGAGCAGTGAGTCCAGAAAAATCAGCACTTTCTGAGGCTGTGTCCAGACAAAACTCTATTTTCTCACTCTCCCCCCACTTCAAGGCTATTGGCATAGAGAGGAGGGAAACAAAGCACAAGCCACTGAGATGGAAATGAAATATAATTATTTACTATGTATTTGTATGACTCACCTCTCGGCTCTCTTCCTTTGTGTATTGCATGTCTATGCTAAACAAGCCAGTGTGGCTGGACTCTCTGCCTCTTACAGCCAAAGAATTCTGCCTCTTGAGTTTGACAGTGTGGAATGGTGTTTTTGGCTTCATACCAGGCCCAGGGAAAGAGCAAAATTCTGTACACCCTGGGCCACAGTTTGCATCTGTGTGCTTTTAGAGAAATAAAGATGTGCACTGCCTGTCACTTCTCTATCTCTAGGAACAAATGTATTTATGGGAGCCCTTTCACTAAATGACAGAAGAGAAAGATGGCTCATCTATTTTTCAAGGTACTAAGAAATGAGGTAACAGGCAGCTGACTCTGCCCTTTTCTCCCTCTGGAATCCTAAGGAACTCTTGTCTTATCTGAGTATTCCTGAATGAAGGAAATAGTTTCACTTTGTTTTTTGTTTTTATTTTAATACATGTTGGCCAACAGAGTTGAATATGATGGAAGATAAGAACTAAGAAAAATGCCCTTCTAGCCTCAGGCCCTTTTTCGTTGTGGGCAGAGTGTGTCTGTTTTCCAGTGGCAGTGGGAAGTAAAGAGAGTAGAATGAGATGGACAGCCTTGGGAGACCCCGAGTTCCCCACCAGGGAAGCGCTTCCTTAAAGGGCTACCTGGGGACTCAGTAGAGGAGATCCAAGCTCAGGGCTCAGGGGCTGGGCTCCACGATCATCATCGAGGTTCCTCCCAGCCCTGTGGAGAGACGAGAAATCAGACTTTACACAAGTGAAAGGTCATAAGGTGATGAGGACATGACGTTGGCAGGAAGTCTTTGGAGTGACCTGACTTAAGCAAAAATGCTCTCCACTTTCAGAGGTGAAATTCTTGACTTAATTCTCATGTCTGAAATTACACCTAATAGAAGCTCCTACTTACGTTTTCCTTAACTTCCATTTGTTGGGTCCTCACTCGCCAGCAGCCACTGTGCTAATAAGCACTTCACCTGCATGATCTCCCTGAACGCTCACACCCAACCTGTGAGATGGGCATTATTACTCCCATTTTATAGGTGGAACTTTGTAGTTAATGCTCAGTAACTTGCCCAGGGTTCTGCAGTTAATTATTGGCTTAGAAATGGCACTTGGACTTGTAGTGTATTTGACAGTGCGTGCAATGCCTAATTGCTTCATCAGGAGAAGAGGAGCGCAGAGCTGTGGTCCACCCGAGTCCATAGAGTGCAGGCTCTGGAACTGGATAGATTCCAGTCCTCTTTGTCTCACTTATTAGCTGTGTGGTCTTCAGCATGGTTGTCTCATCTGCAAAATGTGACTTCTTCAGCTCGGAATGGAGACCAAATGTGGTATTTCATGTAAAATACAGAGTGTGGTACCTTGGGCAGGGCTGGCATCATCTCCACAATGGTTATGATCAGTACTGTCATTGTCATTGTGGTGATCATTGCTGTGGCTATTGTCATTGTTGACTTCTGCCCTCAGGCAGGTCAAAATGCAACCTCTTGGACATCATGCTTTCATCAAAAATTGTGACGAATACCTCCAGTGTGGTTTTGAGGAATAGATGAGATAATATATGAGAAAATGCTTTGTAAACATATGTAAATTTTTTTTATTGATGGGAAACACATTTCTTAGATGACAAAAGCAATCAGTGACTCTTCAGTGCGAAGTTTCATTTCATCTGAAAGATAGCTGAGAATTAACACACCAAAAAGCAGGAACTTGAGAGAAAGGGGTAGTTTTGGAGGGACTGGAGTGGGGGGAGTGGTACAAACCTGGGTAGAATGTAACAGGTAGGATGCGACCCTCAGAGCCACTAAGGGTGGGGTAAGAGGGCTCCTTGAGGACAGACAAGATGCCGAAGGCTTGAGCAGGATGTCCAAGGCTTGTTTGGTCCTTAATTTACAGGTTTTATCCAAGGCAGACCTGAATTCCTAAGTATCCTGCTAAGAAAACTGGATCCTCTCATGAAAGCCTGGGCTAATACAGAGATAGTGAGCTGCTTTGGGTGAAGGACTTCAGAAGAGAGGAAGGGGAAATAGGGCAATCATGTCCACACTGGCTTCTGTGGGTGGGTCCGCGATGGAACTGCACACTCTAAAGCCAAATTCCAAGGATCTGTCATGTGTCTCCTGACCTACTGAGCCAGCCCCCTAACTAGTCTCCCTTCATCTACTCCAGCCCCCTCCAGTCATTCTCCACCCATAAACCCCTCCATCACGCTCTGCTTAAAACACGGATTCCTATCACTCTTAAGATGAGAGAGGAAGACCTGCTGGGTCCCTTGTGGCCAGCCTCAGCTTGTCCACACTGCACGACTCGCCATGTTCCAGTTGCATTCACCTTCCATTCCCCCCAAGAGCCTTGGTTCTGCTAACTTTGCATGTTGTCTACCTGGAAAGCCCTCACCTCCCCAGCACCAGCCCCTCTCCCCACCCCACGCATCACTCAGGCAGGCCTTCACATCCTCAAGAGCTGCAAAAGCCCTCCTCAACCCCCCAGTTTAGCTAATGTCCTCTGCCATATGCTCTTGTCCCTGTTCTTCTAGGGCCTTGTCTCTGTCATTACACACCCATCCTGTGATCATGGGTGGAAGTCCACATCCCACTGGTCAGCAAATATCATGAGAGCCGTGGCATGTAGCCCCTAGCAAGGACACATTCTGGGACATTTCTTGATTCTGGTTTATACATTGGCCGTTTTCCTGAACACAAACAGCAAGGAAGGAGCTAACACCAGACGCCTCGCTCCTGCACAGTCATCAGAGCCATGGCAGCACCATCAACCTAACGTGCATATTCTTAGACAACAATCAATCTTTGGTTATTCCCTGCCAGTGTCTCCAGCTTCCATGTTGGCCCCAGGAGTTCCTAAGCCCCTGGATCCAAAGCCACAGAAGACCAAGTTGATCCCAGTGTGTCAGAGGCCCTGGGCACTGGTCAACTCTGTGTCCCATTAAGAACCACATTCCTTACATGAGTCAGAACGCTTGGAGCCCCCAACATCTTTGAGGTTGGATAAGCATCATGTGTAAATGTGCCATTCTCCCTCATTTTATAGGCTTCCTCCTGCCTTTGGCATGGATTGATATGCTAACAAATTACTTGTTTGGACTAGACTTTGTTTTTTGAAGAGAGTATTGAGGGGTCATATAATCCCCTCAAAGGTATCATGGGATAAAGAGACCCCATACTGTGTCATAAAGAACTTGGGTTTTAGGGTATGGATTCTTTTTTTTTTTTTTTTTTTTTAATGCTTTTTTCTTTTCTTTCTTTCTTTTATGGTTATTGTTGTAGTTTAAGTGAAAGTTTACATTTCAAGTTAGTCTCATACAAAAATTTATACATACATTGTTATGTGACCATAATTGCTCTCCCTATACTGTGACAGCACACTCCTTTCCACTCCTGATTTCCCATGTGCATTCAACCAGCTCCTAACCCTCTCTGTCCTCTCATCTCACCTCCGGACAGAGGCTACTCGTTTAGTCTCATGTATCTACTTGAGCTAAGAAGCACACTCTTCACAAGTATCATTTTATGTCACACAGTCCAGTTCAATCTGTGTCTGAAGAGTTCGCCTTGAAAATTGTTCCAGTTCTGGGCTGATAGAGAATCCATAGGCCATGCTTTCTGGGGTTCCTCCAGTCTCAGTCAGACCATTAAGTCTGGTCTTTTTACTAGAATTTGAGTTCCACACCCCACCTTTCTCCTGCTCCATCAGGGACTCTAGGGTATGGATTCTTGAGTTCAAATCTTTATCTATCATGTTCTCTCTGTGACCTTAGACACAATAGATAACCTCTCTGAGCCTGAATTTCATCATGTATAA